ACTGTAGCTACAGTGTTAATACCCACTATAAAATCTCAAAACACTGTTGAAAAGCTGGGATTAAAATCGCTGCTGCGATTTGAGAAAGGAACGCTCCTGCGTTAAATGGGATCCGCCGCCAAGGAAGAACAAAGGGGGAAAAAAAGACAGCAAACCCTAGGATCGGGGTTGCTTATTTATAGAGGGGGATGACAGGCTGGCGACAGCCTGTCGCCAGCGATCTGCTCGGACGCGAGCATGGGAGGTCTGGACGCCGAGGTCGGTGCCAAAAACACCGAGGGTCGCGTCAACACCGAGGGTCGCGTCAGCACAAAAACGACCATCGCGTTCGCCTGAGGGGAGTTCGCCGTCGACTCCGCCACTGTCGCCTACGTCATCCTGGACCTCGTCGGAGCTCCTCCGCCGGCGGAGGTTGGTATCCACCCCCAACCTAACAAACTGCCTTCAAAAACTTTCAAGCATCCTATATTAGCCAAACAAACTGCTGCTTAAAAAAGAGATAGAGCACATACCTACTAGTGCTACAAGATCATGCACATTCAATCTGTTCGCTAAAAACTTTTGCAACTGAACAGCAACAGAAGCAGTACATAATGGTAAGCTTGTAGTCTCTGATGAAAATGAAGTTCTTCCATCACGCCTTCCCAGCAGTACCGACCAACTCGGTCCACTGGTCAGGTCCACAGAGTCGTGAGCAGCCAATGCAAGGATATCAGTAGAGGGACAACCCCAGGAGACACAGCCTCTACTGAGATTTTGCGTTGCCTACAACTTCAAATCCACTGAGCCTGGTGGTCCTCCCAGCAGAAGTTTCAGAAATCATAACCGAACCATTACAACCAAATATTAAAACATATATTAAAACAGCAAATGTAAAGGAATATTAAGAGTAAATTTCACAAAACTACCAAAAACTTTGGGTGATTTGCAGAAAACTATCATACAGTTTTTTTTATTAGACAGAACTACCACAAACTTTTTCACTAAATGATCATGCCTAGTGGCAGTTATAGTAAGTTGTCCCTTGCTTTGCATGTGGCATGTTTGGGACAATTTTTCGCTTAGTGCTTTACATGCTTCTACATCATCCTTATGAACTTTGTATGTTGATAGGTATAAATAAGTGTAGTCTAGACCTTTTATCCAAGATGTTGTGCTGTTAGCAACATTTTCAATAGTTTACATACTTTTCTGCAGTGTTAAAAAGTTCATGGTAGTTTTCTCTGAACAAAAATTTTATGCTAGTTCTGTGCAAAAGTTCATGGTAGTTTTGTGAAATTTACCCAAATATTAAAGTGGACTGTACTGGACAAACCTGAACAGACAATCACGGAAGTGAAGTCTGAGCAAGCCGGCCGCCGTGCTTCCGTCTTTGTTGAAGTGTTTCTCAACAGTGGATCTCACACTAGCCTCACTATTGGGGCATGATGAATAATAGAGATTGGTTCGAAGACCCCCATGAGCACAAGCTGAGAAGAAGCCCACGAGGACCATCAGAAATGAAACCCAGGAGAAAGCTGCCATCTTTTTTTATTTTTGTAATTGCTTAGTGTTAATACTACTGCCTTACACTTAGTAAGTATTTATATACACAGGTTGTACATCCATTGACACGCTTTCTTTACGTATGTTGTGATAATAGATCAAGCACTCTGCATAAAATCAGTAGTGGCACTGCATAAAAGTGCAACTGTGTTTTTAAATTCTATACAGCTTACTTTTATTCTAGCATTACAAGTTTGACAAACTTCAAGCACTTTGCCTTTATATCTAACTTTGGACTCTGCTCTTTGATCATCTTTAATTAATCTATATAAACTTTCAATAGCAGCACAGATGCATGATGCACTATTATGAAGATCAATTGTACCAAAAGAGTAGACATACGCGGATGGATATTGATGTCAGATCTGTTATTATCCATGTCATATTCATACACACAATATTTGAATAACATGTAAAACTAAGGACTATGATATACCATTTTTTTAGAAAAACCAAGAAGCAATATTTTAAAATACAATTTTATGTCTAACTGTGTTAAACCATCAACATTTAAAATTTAAAATCCAAACTTTAAAACTGATAGCATGTGTAAGAATCTGAATCAAGTTCAGTGAGAGAAGGCTAACTTCTTAAGAAATGGCTAAATATTATGTTGTAGTTACATATTACATTACAGTAGGAACTTTTCTGCAAATTGTACAACTATTAGTATTTATGGTAATAATTAAGGGAGAGAATTTTTTTTTCTTCTACTCCTTATTCTCCCAATTCCTAATATCAACGAATAATATATAAGAGCTCAGAATATCAATTAGCGAGTATTTCTCTTCATTTTATTTGTCCTGTAACAAGTTTTGGCGATCCTGATAAAAAATGCACCAAGTTTGGGTCATGACTTGGAGGGATAGAGTGAATTGCCATCATTATCTAAAATTGTAAGGAGGTATTACTTCACTTGATGGGATAGAATTTAGTTAAGTGGAAGTAACAACGAGAGCAGAATGTTTGAATGTGGTCAAATAGGAATACCCTCAAGCTTTCGCCAACCATCAAGGCTCTGGTGCTTAATGAGTAAGATCACTTTAATAACTTTTTTCCTGGAGAGAGAAGGTTTAATATCGTTTTTAATCCATTGTTAATACTACTTCCTTGTCATTATTTTATTTAACCTTAGATGTGATTTTGGCATATATTTCCGTGATGAAACCTGTAAGAATTCTCAAATAAATAAAATCAGATATAAATTTTATCTTTCATTTTACGTGTTCAATGATACTTTTGTTAGTTATGCGCATTTGAAAGCAAATTCACTGACCAAGATATAAAAATTGATACATACATAGAATCCATTTTCAAGAGCTGAATCATTCTGAAAATGATTCCGTATTATCTGATTTTGAAGGTGAAATTTTTGCAGAACAAGGGATAGATAGTGAGTGCTAATGTTTCCAAGTGGCCTCACCAAGGTAAGCATACAAACTACACTACAACATACATTTTCTATTAGACAGATGATCCTAATATGCACATGATACTTATCATGCAGAACGAAAAGGCAAATCTAACAAGTGACAATTGCAAAAGATAACAGAAATATAAGAATAGTACTTGTCAGAACGCCACAAGAACAGAACATCGTGAATACAGGATAATCATCCTTGTGCAGTTGTGCACAAGTATGATCACTCCTAGCTAGCCATAGAAGTTTTACAGAGTATTCTAATAACCCACACAATGATTCTGAGGAAGTCATGCTAGTTCAAAACATGCTATGTGCAAAAAAAAAAAGATCAGACTTCTGCATCCCGGTAAGTTTTCAAGACAAAAAAGTGTCAATTATAAAGTAAAGACTCAAGTTACTCAAGAAATTTTGTCAATAATATTATATACATGAGACAATGAACTTCACAAGCTTGAAATATAGCCATAAAAAGAAAATCCTAACCCAGACGCACTGCTCTGTATATAGGCATTCTTCTTCTTGTTTGGAGAAAATACAATGTATAGACTGTTGGGAATTTAACGCTGAAACCCCTAATGCAACAGAAACGCAGTATAGAAAAAGTACACCAAGATTTAACGAGGTTCGGCAACTGCCTACGTCCTCGGGAGTCACACAGATAATTTCTTATTAATCAAACAAGAAATTACAATTTCGGAGCGGATCTCAAAACTGAGATTTCTCAAATAAACACTGTAGCTACAGTGTTAATAATCAAAGGGTATGAACCCTTTCAATTCTCACTTGAGAAAAATACCCCACAATTAAAACCCCTCTTTAATTTCTTCTCTCTCTTCTTAAATCCCCTCAACTACTGCCGTTGAAGATTGGGGAAATGTAAAAATCGCTTCTGCGATTTTAGGGCAGCCGCCGCCGCCAGAAGAAGAAAATCGGAGGAGGGAAGGAGAAGAACTTCAGCAGCAAAACCCTAGGCTGGGCCAGCGACCGCTTCGACGCCAGCTTCGCACGAACGCAGAGGTCGCTTCGACGCCAGCTTCGAGCCGAAGGCAGAGGTCGCTTCGACGCCATCTTCGCACGAACGCAGAGCTGAAAGGGGGAGGCGAACGCAGAGCTCGAGCCGTCAAAACGCCAAGGTCAGGTCAGCGTTCACCTGGGGGTTCTCCGTCGACTTCGCCTGCGTCAGGTCGTCGACAACCTCGCCTGGGCTTCGAGCTTCGTCGGAGCTCGTCGGAGCTCCTCGCCGGACATGGAGGTTGGTATCCACCCCCAAACTAACATAGACATTCAAATAAACTAAACACATTATGGGAACCAAGATTTGGTATCAATAAGAAGAGCCCAAATCCACTATTTGTTGCAAATATCTAAACCGTGGATGAAAATTTTACATGTAACTTGGATAGCACCTATTCTATTAATGTACCACAATTATAATTTGTCAACCACTTGGGATTGGTTGTTGCAATGGGGTTTCTTGGGGGAAAACTTAAGAACAGTTGTATTCACTCTCAGGCGAAAATATACTGACCTCATAGAGAATCATTTAACAGCAAAACTTTAGGCTAAAATATAGAGTGAAGACATCTTGTTTAACATCAAAGAGGGTTAATTTGAAGTACACAATCAACGTGACAATTATCATAAAGAATTGTATCAGCATCAAGATATAAATTCTTAGCAACAAAATACTTAATTTAGATTGTTAGCATACAATAATCGCGATGCATAACTCAAATTACAAGCACAACCATGAGAGAATGCTTGCCCAACCTACGTCTTCGACCGGTAAATGAGAATCCCTCCCTCAAATTATGATCAAAATTGGGGAAAGAAATGAGAATTCTAGTGTTGAAGTTTGGAAATGAGAATTCTAATGTTGAAGTTTGAACATCACCTGCTTGATTGGCAAAAACTAATTTGGAGCAGTGGTCGATCTGAGCGTGGCATCTTTTCGCGAGGCCATGCTAATCTTCTCTGTATCCTTCCTGTGTTATCCGATGTTTCCCAAGGGACACTCCTGCTAAGCACAGGTTTTAATAATAAAACTATTAACATCATGAAATCAGATGATGTGGGATAAAATCAGAAGTTGACCCAAATTATCCTTCTATTTGCTGGAGTTGGTATGTGCTCAATCCTGAAGGACTATTTATTCAACCAGTGTTTATCGGAGACGCCATAGAAGAGAATTAAAACCATACCAGGAAGCAATTAGGCCCCCTTTAGTGAAAGGTTATTCTTATAGAAAAATTATAATAAGATTATTTGTTATCATGGTATCTCCATTACGGCAACAATAACTTCCAGTATTAACTTTTCAGAAGAACGAAGCAGGCATTTGCTTAATTGGAATGGATTTATGCGTACATTAAAGACATCATACTCAGATGTGGAGAAATAAAAGATGATGATGGTATTTGCAAACCAAGAAGCCAAACAATAATAATAATAATAATAATAATAATAATAATAAGTGTGCAACCTTTTTCCCTAATATAACATGTATCCACCTGTATACTATTTGCTTTATATTATGGCTCCCTTGTACCAATGAAAGGTTAGCAAATCTTAATTATGTAACCAGTTAGACATTCCAAAAGTTTCCCAATATAAACTGGAATCTCAGACAACCAATCTCTTATTCAATACTCGCATCTTCTCAGTTAAACTTGGAATATTTCTTTTTAACTTCCCCTTGCTTCCCAGTATTCACCCCCATGCTGCTTGACCATGGCCTTCGGGAAATCATAGCTAATCCTCAAACCAAGCAACTCTCTAATGTTCCCAGCATAATTCCAGACAGTATGTTGTGTCGTGGCATCCTCCCAGAGACTCTGATCGGACTTCAGCACACCCTGTCATCCCTCCGATTATTGAAGTAGCTCGCATTGAAATCCGTCACGTTTCCAGCGTCCAGAGCAACATGCCCAAAGGCATAGCGGATCTGGCCGCAGAGGGATCGGAGTCGGGGCAAGAAGGATTGGCTGATGGTTGGGTCAGCATCGCCTTTGGCTATGAAGTTGTAAAGAGCGCATCAGGAGAAAAAGCAATTTGTTTGACCAATGGTGTGTGCATCTGAATGCAAAACATATATGTGAAGTTGTGAACATGTTAGCACGCACGATGGCTCAACGAAAAAATCAGTCCTTTTCTACTTTTTTCTACTAAGTACTAACTCTTCTCCATGTAATCAATTTCATCCAAAAGTTTCGACGGGTAGGTTCTGGCTCACAATGTATCTCGAGCAAACATCATATGGAAATGGCAGAAATAAGTGGGGATCAAGGAGTGAAACAGGACTGTGTCATTGAGGGACACTAATTAGGATCTGACCCATCCGGTTCTTTCTTTTGGGATTCAGGAACATGGTATATGTTGACTCTTGCTCTATCTTTGAAGAGAGCCATTGCTGACTGTATTCTGCTTTGACCTGTCCTTGGCTTTGTTAGTTTTATTTCCTTGTGTGCTGTTTTATTGTTACTTGAGATATTTGGTTAGATTCTTATTAATAAAACAACAAAGGGTAAGTGTACCAAACTTCTTTCTCAAAAAAAATTAGTGGGGTAAAATAGACATACTGAAACTTTAATGGCAATAATTGAATCAGGACCCCTTGAACCTATTGAAACCTATCGGCTAGTACTATATCAAAGAACCATTTTTGCGAACAAATTAATATAGTGGTTTATGGACTAATGATACATATCAAATAAATTTACCACGCTTCTATATCAAAGAACCATTTTTGCAAACAATTTAATATAGTGATTTATGAACTAATGATATATATCAAATAAATTTATCACCCGCAGATGGTTCCACTGTCACAAGGAACTAGGGAGTGCAATTAGAAGGGGTCGGTTATTAACCACTAGAAAACAATATTTGAAAATGTGGCATGGGTACCGGGAGCAAATTTGACCTGACATAAGTTTGTGCCGAGCATGGGTAGTCTTTGTTAACCAAATGCGGACTAGAAGTAACCCAAATTCCAACTTAAACCCACGGCTAACCCATCCTGTACTTGCATTGATATGTGTATGTAACTTGAAGTTTATTGCCAGTTCTAACTATATTTTTATAGCGTGCATGTGATGTAAAGAGTATAAGCTTTGGTTTCCATTCTCAAGATTCTTGTGAAATATGGTCAAGGATATGGGTAGTACATAGTACAGACACAATGTATGTATCTGTTGTATGTGTTAAACAATAAGGATTCAATCTGATATGGGTAGACATAAAATAAATACTAAAAAGTGAGAATATAATATGGCTATATATAATACAAAAACAATATAGGTATGCATGTACAACAACAACGATTGAACCTGATATGGGTACACACATAAAGCAAAGCACAAAAGGTTAGGATGCAATACGTAACAGATGCAGCATGATGAAATTACACGTCTCTGAGTATTAGTGCTGAATATTCTACAATATATGCAATTTTTGCAAGCTATCCTCATTAATAGTCACCTGAACAATTGCAATCTTCTTTTAGATATTGAATAAATTATATAAATGATATGTGTCTGCATAAAATAGAATTATAAATTTAAATGTGCAGACATTCATTTGATGATTTTTTAGTCGGTGGTTGATTAACGTAATCAGTTTATGTTATATTTTTGGAAATCCGGAGAATCGTATTCTTCATTAAGATATTGAACAAATTATAAATGTGCAATGCATCTACAATAAAATAGAATGTAAATTTCAATGTTTCAACATTCATTTCATGACTTACTTAGGCAGTGGTTCGTTTATGTGGCCGGTTAATAGTATGTTTTTGGGAAGCCCAGAACAAGTTAACATTTGTAGGATGTATCAAAATGAATATCTGACGTGTCGAGCACACAATTCAATACTATTGGTGCAAACTTTTCTAAGTGGCGTCAGTAGGTCAGCAAGTCAGTGTACATACACTACTATACGATGCAAAACTAAAAGGTAGACTTAACAATTGACAAATGCAAAGACAGAGGAAACATAAGAATAGTACATACAAGAATTCTAAAGGAACAGAACGTGATGAAAAATACTTCAGTGTGCAAAACCGCCACTGATCCATGACAGCAAGCACTGCGTCCTGTCGAGTATTCACTGCAAATACAATTTTTGGGATTGGCAGCAGCAATGAGGTTTTCTTTCTACAAAAAAAAAACTATGATTAATTGTATATCAGAGAAATTATTGAGGCAAAAATAAGGAGTGGAGACAGCATTCTCAGCATCAAAGACTTTTAAATTTGAAGTAAATAACCAAAACTGACGATACCAGAATTGTCCCAGGATGAAGATAACATCAAGCATTCAATTCTCAGAAAATATAAAAAACTAGATTTAGGCCGTGAGCATAAAATTATCACAGCGGTTACTCAAATTAGATCGAGCCAATGAAGAGGGTGCTCACCAGTATTAGGGTATAGACCAGAAAAGAGAACTCTTCACCTAATTTACGAGGCAATTTTAAAATTCTAGGGTTTGAAGATCGCAATAGACGAAGTTTGGGGGGGGATTTTTGAAGATTCTAGGGTTCGAGGGTCGCAATATCACCGGCGAGATTGCAAAAAAAATTTGGACCATTTCTCGATTTGTGCGTGTCATCCTTGCGCAGGGGCCATGCTAATCTTCTCTGTATCGTTCCAATTTTATCAGATGTCTCCGAAGAGACGCTTGCGCAGGGGCCATGCTAATCTTCTCTGTATCGTTCCAATTTTATCAGATGTCTCCGAAGAGACGATAAAGGGTAAAGAACGTTGCCATATTAAGGCTCTCAACTGTAGCCTTATCATCGATGTGGGACTAATTAGACGCCTTCCCATACTTCGGATGCTTTTGTGGGCCAGAATGGATCTATCTATGCCCAAATTTCGAAGTGACCCGCATTTAAGTAGTGAAACAAGCAAGGTAGGTCTCACTCGAGAAAAGGAGATCAAACTTTCCTAAAAGTACTGTATTAAAAGGATTGGTCCTCACAGTCTCACTTCCAGCCACAATTTTTTAGAACAACGAATCATGTGAGTTAAAATGGGAATTTTTTTTTTTTTGTACATAAAAATTGCAAGGAAACCATGTTCAACTCTGGAGAAATAAGTAGTTTCGACTATACTCGCATCCTGAGACGACTACTCAAAGGCAAGATAATTACGATATTAGCATAGAAAAACATACTCCTGGATATCCTCTTACGCTACCGACATTATACATAAAATACTATTTGGTCAATGACAATTGAGATCGACTATTCTTTATGAAGCAAAGAACATATCATATGCACCTTTTTCCTTATTTTAATGAAATCACCGATAAACCCAACGCAAACTGAATTACTGAATGCAATGAAACAAAAAGCAAGCCTCAGTGTTCAAAGAAACAAGAAAAACAATTAGCCATTCAAATTTTAAAGATCAAAAGTGCATGTGATAGTTATATTAAGATTTTGATAGTGTACATCCGAATACAAGTAAAACGTGAGATATAACCGTAAACAACAACAAAAAAGAAAATAGCATCAGTACCCTTTCTACAATATCAGCAACTTAGTTGCGATTGGATACAGGAGACTTGATGACAAATCGCAAGGCAAATCTTTCACATGGTTACTTTGCAAGTTGTTCTACCACAGGGACTTTATCCCAAATTCTCTCCTCAGCTTTACTGGTCTTCAATGGAGGCAGAGAAAACACGCTAACTGTTGAACTTCCGCTTCTAATCTCCTTCAAGACTCTCAAGGCCGAGACTGTGCTCTTCATGTATAAGCTTTCCATGTACTCGATCTCATCGAGATCTGGGAACTCTTCACTGACCAATGAGGATCTTGGTGGCTTTGATGGATTCTCGCCACTGTTGTTGCCTTCATCTTCTTCTTCGTGTTTGGGAGAGCTTGAAGGTTCGTTTATAGAGAAGAGGTGATCCAGCATGGATTCGCATTCTTTCACAAGCTTGTATAGAAGATCAGTGATGAAAAATGGCTGCTGAAGAACCTTTTGGATGAAGGGTAGCCTAATCAGTGCACCGGTTCTCTTGTCGTACTTCTTTAAAATCTTCACCAGACCTATTCACAGACCAAGGAAGATGAGCATAACCATGAAAGTAAACAGAAAGTAATAAGCATCGTGCTCAGGTAGCTATAGAGCTGGAGTAAGAACAATCAACCAAAACTTCAATGTTTCTACATATTTTCACTACTTCTTGTATGTTAAATTAAATTACAGACTAAAGTCAATTAAAGCCTAAGACCTTCTAGGTTTGAATGAAGAAGACAGATAAATCTCATCACCTTCACTAGGAGGAAAATCTTTAAACATGCTCAAGTAACTCTGGACCTACAACTCCCTCCATCACAAGCAAAAACTTTTGTATTCGAGTTCCCTATATGGAAAAGAATGAAACAAGACTTCCAAATACAAGGGACACATGTTATTCCTGCTTATCTCATTCATAGAAGTGAAGATGTTCCCAAGAGAAATACACACTGATACATTAGGTTTGCAGAAGTCATTGACTCACAGTGCTAATGTGACATCAAACTAGGAGAAAACGTTTCCTCCTGGATGCTAAACTCGTAGGGGGGAAATATAACACCCAGAGGGGAGAAAATTTCTCCTTTTGGCACCTCTTTCAAGATTTGAATCTATAACTACTCCTACCATAATCAAACACCTGACCAACTTGCTCTTAATTAGTTGATGGATTTTATTAGAAAGTTGGTGGGCCATGCTCACTGTTAGATGTAAGGCTAAAATTCCACGCCACAATCCCAAATCCACCGCCTAATACAATAATAATTGGAGAATCATCTCTTATGTTTGAGATATTCCCAAGAGGAAACCTGGCTACTATCCACCTATTTCTTAAAGTGCATTTGGCCAACCATATTACATTCGAACATGAACCAGAACATTATCACCGATGATTATGATCAGTTAAACATGCCAGTAGCATGACTACATAACCCCTTGATCTGTCTCCTATTGCGTGAGTTGCCTGATGGTGACCAGGTTGGAGTTCTAGAATTCAAGTACATATAAACTAATTATGTGTATGTGTGCACATAATTTACACATCCAATTTTATGGTAAGATGTTTGACAATGACAATAACGTGCGCACCACATGATGTGTGCACGATATACTTGTCGTGCGTGTAAATTATCGACAAGGTACAGAGTCACTCTGATATTTAGTAACAACAGGGTCTTTGAGGGAATATTAGAATCGAATAACATCACTTCTTTATGTGGGCCCCATGCAAGTTATTTGTCTACCGCGAATTGTGAGAAACAAGAAGTAAAATTTATTCGCATAAGTTATATAAGAAATTTCGTCATTGTGGTACCTATAAAAAGAATAGAATAGATGTTATTGGACCCATGTCGCAGGTTTTTTGTATTTAAATACAACCGAGGATGCAAAGGATTCGAAGACGGTACTGCTGTCATAGTCAAACATATTACCAGCGTGCGCCTGCTAGTTTCATTTGAAAGCTAGTGCGAATATGCCCCCAAGCTCCTCCTTGACAAAATTGTCAAAATGTTGGATGCAGCCATCGAGGTAGGAGTTCAAGAATCAAGCATATACAAATCACTGTTCTTCAACTATATCACAGTTCTCAACTTTCATGGTAAATTCTAATCAATAAAGGTCGTTAAGGAAACTAACATGATTATGTACCACTATCAAAGCTTTTCAGCTCAAATTTTCCTGCATGCTAAGACTTGGCAAGATGATATCTATAAAATTACTGGTCATAGCAAAATTTCACTGACAAAGTCACTAGTCGGAGCAAATTTTACCAGTATAATTGAGAGCACTGTAGTTCTCAAGAAGAACCATCTCCCCATGGAAGTCAACAATCTCCTTTCTCACCTTCATCAGCTCCTCCTTCGATTCTCGAATCGCCATCGCCACCAGCTCCTGCAGCTCCTGCAACCAAATCACAGCCCACCGTGTCAGCTCAAATCCACAGAAACCCAACGGAAGCACAAACATAACAACTTTGGCACATAAAAATTTGGGGTTTTTGAGATATCATTGCCCAATCTAATCAATTTTAACGTGCAAAGTTCAATGGTTCATTCTGAACCTTTGACAGGGCATAACAAATACAGAAAATCTCTACATGATGTTGAGTTTTGTGGACTTCTTTCGAAACAGAGAGATTTGGCGAAAATATCTCAAAACCCCCCTAAAAATTTCACCTTTTGCCGAATGATGTATTCCTCCTCCTTCTCAACAAAGAACACGTTGAACTTCTCAAGCTCGTCCTCAAGTGACCCCAGAAACTCCTCCTCCTCCCTCGTGACCTCGTAGCCACCGCCGGCTGCGGTCTTGGCGCGCTTCGCCGGACGATCACCGCCGGCGGCGATGAGCTTGAGCTTCTTCTTGAGGTCTTTGTAGGAGAGGAACTTGTCTCTCCACTCGGGTAGGGTTTCCTCTATCTGACTGCTCAGGCTCTTCCCGAACTTCATCGGAACCCTAATTTAGTTCTCAATTACAAAATTGGAGAAATGTCTTTTTGACGGTTAGAGGAAGAATCGAGGGAGAAGGGAGACGGTGATATAATAGAGGAGGAGGAGGCGGAGGAGAGAGAAAGAGAGAGAATATGCGGAGGAGAGAGAAAGGGAATATTCGATCGGTGATAGAGAGAGAAGGGATATTTGGGGTTTTATTCCGTTCCTTCTTACTTTTTTTCCCTTTTTTTTCCCCTCTTTTCCTTTGCGCGCGCGGTGGTGTCTGCCAACGGGCTGCCACGTGGCATTTTATCCTTTCGAACGTGGAAACTGTAGCCATTTTGAAGAAAAAAATATTTCCTTTTTGTAAACTAGATGTTATTCAAAATGCTTGTTAGAAATTAAAAATGCAGAAAAAATTTTGAATTAGACCTAATCCCAGTAAGATTTATAAAATAAACCTATTTTTATAATATTTATCAAGATAGACCTAGTTTCTGTCACGCTGGCTGGCTGAGACTAGGTTGATTTTAAAAAAAAATCGTAAACTCTACAGCCCTTGAAAATCTTGTAGAATCTAGCACACAACTTAACTCTACGGAATTGCTAATTCCGTGAAGTTTATACTTTTTTTTCAAAATCGACTAAGTTTTGCTAACGTGGTTGAGATTTGATCAATTTTGATAAATATTTTACAAGTAGATTGAAATTGATTAAAAATTTTTTGAAAAAAGTCTATTTCAAAATTTTGTCCTAAAAAATGCATATATCTAAGTATTTTAAAAATAAACTATCTAAATTATACATGAGTTAGATATGGATAATAATAGGAAGCTATAAAGTTACGATTTACGGACATACAAGAGGAATAATGTAGAAATTATTATGCATGTTGTGTTACTGCAATCAGTAATAGTTGTTTTATTAGCATAGTGTAGATTAGAAACAATAAATAGTGACAATTGCTTTTTACATTTAGGGTAAATATGGTTGATTTGTTCCCTCGTGTCACAAATTATGATGTAAATGTCTACATGACCGATACTGTACTATACTGATATTGGTGTGAGTCACGTAAGCAGCATGCCTAACTACAAATAATTTACAGAAAATACCAACAGACTCTTTTTCAGCATATGCTTGAGAATCTTTTATGTCACAAATCACTGTGATAAGAAAAACTGAAATCTTGATATTGGTTAGAAATACTAGTTATCATTGTTTTCTTCACTTAGAAAATCAGCGACTGACAATTTATCTGAGGGTGTATTTGGCAAACTCAGCTTAAAGCTGAGTCAGGACTGAACCCGACACGGGTTTGAATCTTTTTTTAATGGTAAAAACTGGGTTATGCCCAGTTTTTATTAGGCTAAAAATGAGATTAAATTTTGATACTTTTCTAAACCACCACCGTTCCCGTATGCCTCTTTTAGCACACGAGAATCAGATCAACTGAGAATAGAATAAATTAGAGAATGGTATGGAATGAGTGCGAGAATAGGATACTTATTTTAATTCTCACGTTTCAATGCGATTAGTAATGAAGTGAGGATGAAAATTCATTTTACTTTTGATATGGGTAATTAAAAAGAAATCATGACATATTTGATATTTAATTTAATTTTATTCTCAGGAACATTCATTCCGTACCGGCTCAATGGAAATGTCCATTAGCACAAAAAAGTGGGAATGTAGGAAAAGTGGGAATGACCATTTTAGTTTTAAAAATGGTGTCATGTTTGGTGTACATAAGGGGCTGTTCGTTTCGCAAAATAATTTGGGAAATCAAATAATAGGAAACCTATTTCCTATAATAATTGAGGTTGTTTGGTTGGTTTAAAAAGGAAGAAAATTATAGAATAGGAGATGAGATGAGATGAGTTGTCACCTTATTATTGGATGATGTGAGTGATTTAAAAAAAAAAAATTGTTTTGAAGTTGTTTGGTTGGTTAAAAAAATAAGGAAATGAATTGGAGATATATTATTGAATGATGTTTTGAGGTTGTTTGTGTTTGGTTCATTTTTAAAAATAAGAAAATAGATGAGATGCGATGAGTTGGAGGTATATTATTGGATGATGTGACACATACTTAAGGAAATCAATTTCTTGTTTTTTTTAGGAAATTGATGGAAATGAATGTTTAATGAGATGAGATGAGTTGTCACGATATTATTAGATGATGTGTGTGATTTTTAGGAAATGGATGGAAAGGAATGTTTAATGGATGGAAAGGAATGTTTAATGAGATTAGATGTGGTGAGTTGGATGATGTGACACATTTCTTGTGTTTGATTTATTTTTAAAGGTAAGAAAGGAGATGAAATGAGATGAGTTGGAGGATAAAAATAATATTTTATTAGATGTTGTGGGTGAGTTTTAGGGATGAAAATGGATAAAAATATTATTTTATTGATTTCCTTGTACCGATTTTATTTTCTTTAATTTTAGGAAACCAACCAAACGGACCCTAAATGAAAATTGGAAATGAGCATTTCATTCCTACT